AGGGGTAAAAGACCAAGTTAGGCATTTCACATAGAATTGGATAGATATCCGTTCTAAATGAACCATGGATTAATGTATTGTGAAGATATGGTGTACCCTAGTTTCAAGTCAACACCCAGGGTCAATCCTAAAGCTAAGTAATCCTATAGGGACTCTTCTTGAATTCTTTTATAATGATCTTACCTACTAAATGCTAGAGGTTAAGATCAATATGTGGAATTTCAAGTTGAGTAAAAAGAAGAGTTTTGAATTTCTAATGGTGGGGGTACCTTTTCTAATTTTCTAAGACTAGTCAATAGGAAAGTCATATGGCTAGACCTAGGCTACTAAAGAAGTTTTCTAGACCTCAACCAAAAGTGAGGTCAACACCCCCGTTAGAGAGTCATTTTTTTAACATAATTAAATGACTATTAGCTATTCAAGTCAACCTAAATTCAAGTGGGTTTTCGTGGTTAGCTTTGGGTAGTATCACCTAACAAATTTTGATCTTAATGGTTTACAATTACTATAACCATTATTGATAAATAGAAAGAACATTCCATATAAAATGAAATGTCCTTCACAAAATCTGTTATTAGACTTTAATATAGTTCATTTAAGAATATTTCCTGGAAGGTTGCATAAACTTTAACAAAATTTTGTGAGGAAATATTGTTCTCAAGATGTACGTTATGATCTTGACTTACACCACAACCATCACTTGTACTGCAAACATTCATGTATTAAAATTTGTTGTACAACCTTTGCCTAACATTGTAATCATTATTGCATCATGAACTATGTCATAATCTTTTTGCTTGCATCATAGTAGTCATTACATAAAATATCTATGCTAACATTTTTCATGCATGACAATCATTGATGAATCATGATTTGCATCAAGCATGATGATTAATACTTGTGCCAAAAAAATTTTCTACATAAATTTTGAGTTAAGGCCTATGTTGCAACCATCATTTGAAAGACAACACTCTCTTACAAGTTTTTGGTATCAAACTCTCTTACAATACCTTGGTATCAATTGTCTTTTGTGAAACTTGCATTATGATAATCTCTTGTAAGGCTTATATCATGATAAGCTTCTCTGCCACACACATATTTGATAAGATGAATTCCTCACTCCTAAAAAATCTTCTAATACCTCAACCACCTTCTGAAGCTGAAAATGATTTCTTACTCCTCCAAATTAGCACTTTCATAATTATGAAATACTGATTAACTTGTAACCATTTTATACTAGTGAAAAATATTCAACCGAGTAATATCAAGTGATTTTTATTATTTTAATTTTCAACATAAAAGTTGTCATGTAAAATGACTTATTGTATGCATGAGATCAATACAGACTAAATCAATTAAAACTCGCCTGTTACTGAGTTTGCTTTTTGAATAATCACAACAATCACAATATATATTGGTGAAAACATGAGGTGATATTTCAGGCAAATGTAAGCATATATATAAATTTGATTTGAGATTATCCATCCATAAATTCTAGCTACATTTATAAGGCCAATTAATTAATTTTTTTCACATGTCAATTTTATCACTAAAACTTTTTGCTCATATTATCTTTCACTATATAAAAACTAAAATAAAACATAAAGAAGTTAACTATATTCATAAATCTTATAAATTTAAATATATTAAATCTAAATAATAAAATTTAGTAAATACATAATTTAAAATAAAATTGAAAATATTTGAGAATGAATTGGACTGGATTTACTAAATGCTGACTTTACAAGTTTCATTTCTATCTAAAAAGACTTAAAATCTACTTAAATCCGTTAGCCCCTATAGTTTTACTGAGGGAGTACCTTGTCCTCAACCTCAGTTCCCCTTCCCTCTAGGAGCTTAGCGCAATGGCGTCCTCGAGCAGCAGCGGTCCTATCTTCAAGCTCCACCCTCTGGTGATCGTCAACATCTCTGATCATTATACCCGTGTTAAAGCTCAGAGCCAGCACTCTGTCCCCCCAAGAGCGGCCTCTTCATCAGCTACGGCCTCCAATGGCAGTGCGGCGCCCCGCGTTTTTGGCTGCGTAATCGGCGTACAGCGTGGCCGCACTGTCGAGATCTTTAACAGCTTTGAAATGATTTTAGATCCTGTTTCCCATACCCTGGACCGCGCCTTCCTTGAGAAGAAGCAAGAGCTCTGTAATTACTCTGCTATTTTCTTTCTCTAGGGTTTTTGTTTTTAAGTCAATTGGATCTTAAAGCACAGTGTTATTGTTATTAATATTATTATCATTATTATTATTACCGTTTCGATCGGATTTTGTGCGGAACAGATAAGAAGGTTTTTCCAAACTTTTATATTCTGGGCTGGTATTCAACCGGCTGTGATGCGGAGGAGTCCGATATGCAGATTCATAAGGCGGTGAGTTCCTGCTCTCTTATAATTTTTCATATGCAGGCTGTTAAGGCGTTAATCTGGCTGACATATGGGCTTCATCTTTTGTTTATATATTTCGCTCTGATTTACATTTCTCGAATATTAGCATACTACTATTTTCATGTAATCGTTGGGTTAACTAAACTGTTTAGAAGAAGTAAGGTCATTTTAGACTAGTTTGATTGCAATAGTTCAATTTATGATTAGCAAAAGGAAGTTGGAAACAAACAACTTAGTTGAAGCTAACTGGTTAAAAATTGTCTTGTAATTTTTGCTTATAAAATCATGTGTAGAATAATGCAATTATGATTCAGTTTCATTTTAGTTGGTCAGAGTTGATGGCTGCTCAACCATCGTAAGGATTATTCACAAGCTGATGTGGATGCTCTTATGAAATTGTCTATAAAAAAATGTTGATATGCATTTTTTGCTTGAAATATTGCCACTTTTTTTCTTAATTAAAAGATGATTTCTTGTTTTAAATTTCATTACTTTCTCTAACTTCAGTCCTCTTCGGCTCAAATTATCTTTACTTTGTATCAATTATTTTTCAATTTCAATTGAATAATCACGCATGTTATTTCATATTGATCATAAAATTTGCTTAAACTCCACGCATGGACTTACGTATTGGCATTATTATAGCCTTTATTCATGATGCTATCAAATATTGTAGATAATGGATCCATAATTTAGAGTGGGATTTTTTTGCTAATGATGTTCTTTCATCTTTACTTTTTTCGTCATTATAACAGTAAATGTTTCATGATCAATGGTTCTTAATGCAACTAGTTGATGTAATGGGTGAAATTACTTGAACAAGTTCTGAAATTCATAATTGCAATGACAATCAAGTAAACAAGATTCCGTCCTCTTTTGATGTACATTCAAAATCATGAGAAATTCAAATTAAATGACAACTGAATGCTTGATCAAATAAAAAAGTCAAGAAAATAAGACCATTAGAACCAAAAGTCGATTAAGATTTACATGACAAAAAGAAACACATTTTTAAAGGATTTAATCAAATCAATTATGTCATCAAAGACAATAATGAATTGTGTTGAAGAAAACAAAATGAGATAACAGAACAAAAAATAAATAAGATCCAGTTTTCATTCACATACATGGAGATGACTTCCCTTAAAAAATTTTAGTTGCACTTGCACCACTCAAAGAACTCGACATTCAACAAATAGACAAAGGATATAAGGAAGTTGAAATTTTATTAAGCAAAAGTTTATTTACATATCTTAGGTTATTTAGCAAAAGTTTACTTCTACTTCCTTTATTGGTTGCCTTTGTAGTCTTGGTTCAAAACCGACAAAATAGGTATGCTTGTTCATAAATTGATCCCATAACACTCTGGTAATCCATAGGCCTTATTAACAGTTGTGGCCGCTTCAAACGGGTATTTGGTGCCACAAAGGATATCACAAAAATATAATAAATCACTAACACAATTACTAGTCTATCACAAATCAATACAGGAGCCAATTTGCTGCAAGTGCTAATTAGATATGGGAGTTATTTAGTAATTCTAAATTTACCACGACACAAAAAATTATCATTATGACAAAAATTGTGAAGCCTCTCACTAGCTAGTTAACAGATGGTTGAAGTAGCACATAGCTATAATAAGTAATTAGACATATTAAGCGAACACATTGAATTATCATAGGTATTATCACATGCATGTTCCAAATAAACTAAAATTTCAAATGAAATAAACTGCATAATAATGAATGCATGCTTATATTATGTATTTGCTCGATATTTTTAAAGAGTGTGAGCTTGTATATCTCAAAAAAAATTTCCTAACTTGGAAAATCTTCGCTATGAATAATTTAGTATTTGAGGCTTATTAAACAAATTAGGATTGAAATATTGCACCTCTTGTATGTAATGTAAGAATCATCACAAATATGTTTGTCATGCCGCTGCATAACATATTCATGGAGTTCGACATTTTTAGTGAGCACATTTCATCATCGTATATATAGCTTTAGGAGCACAATATGTTGAACTATTCAACAATTGTTGTTTGTGCATTTACGTGGAGGATATGGAAAGAGAGAATAATTCAATGCTGTGGATGTATTCCTATGAAATAAAGTCAAGTGAAACACATTGAAGGCCTGACTAATGCCATAATTTCTTGAAATTGGTAATTTACTTAAACATTCATTCTAATGCATTGCATGATTTTGAATGATCCTATTATTTTCACATCCAAGTTTTTATGGAATCCTATAATAAAGCTTTTTTTCTTTCAAATTTGCCATTTCCTTATTAATTGATTTTAATTTATACACATCATGTTCACATAAATAGAACGTATAAATATTTAATTTTCAATTGTTTGCAAATATCTTTATACCAAATATGCATATCTTATTTTAAAATCTATGTAAATTCATTAGGTTTGAACTTGGTAGGAAGTTCAACAAAATTTAACAAGTTCAACAAAATTTAACGTTTGAATCACCAACTATTTCAAATGGACTCTTGTAATTAACTTATTTACATGATGAATTGCATGCAAATTCGGCCATAAGTAATACTAAATTTCAACTAGATGTTTTCTCCTTAAGCAAACAATATATTCATCTACTTCAATTTTTTTAGCTAACTTAGCTTGTTTAGTTGTTTGTGGTTGATAAGTGTTGAAAATTCAATTGAGTTCTAGTTTTTTTTTAAAGAATTTTCTAGAAATAATTCATAAATTTTGCCTCTCCATCAGACATTATGATTTTAGGTAATTCCTGTAATTCAACCACTTGATTGCAGTAAAGTTTAGCATTATGAGAAGTATCAAAAGTTTTATGACATAATGCAACAAGACATTTAAGAAAATTGATCTGCCACTAAAAATAAATTTTCTTAGATATTATGGCAACCCTAAAACAAAGCTTTGGGCATTCTCCAAAGGCTGACATGGAACAGGCAATGACATATAAAACCCAATATTTTTTGCCCTTTATTACATTGACAAGTTATGCGTTGTGAAATTATGTATGCTGTATTTCTTTTCATCCTGGTCTATTGTTATCTATCTTTAGTTATGGATTTGATCTTCTCTCCTAAAATACATTAGATTGCCATCAACATGCAATTCTATGATAAAGAAGTCCTATAAAGATGAGTCAGGAGTTCAAAGAGGCGCCCTCTAAAGTAAATTAATTATTTTTAAGCATTCAGTCTTTGTTAAGAACAAATTAATTATTATATATCTCACTAAAATACTTATGTATAATTCCTTAATGTGTGTAAAGCTTGGCACTTTAATCCGCATTGTGTTTCAAATAACATAAACCTACTAATAGCATCAACTAACTTATTTTTAACTTAAATATAGCGTTTACTGACAAATTACACTCCTTTAGTAACTCAATTTCTTTTTTTTTTGCACGTCTTTGTTCCAATTTCTTTTGTGAATTTATATGTATCAAAACCTAACAATCAAAATAAAGTATAAATTTCTTAGGAAACTAGTAACACCTCCAATATCAATGCACTTGCACAATAACATAAATTTTTTTATCATAATTCATATACTTTTGTTTAGTTGGCGCAGGAGCGTCTCGCTAAATCACAGGAACGAACATCTTGTGATCGCAATCGCGAGAACTTTGTGATGCTGCAAAATCAATGGTTTCTAAGATCACGGGAAGGCCAAACTGCACAATCCCATCTCATTGTCCAATTCAACGAGATTTGGTTTTCCTTTTATGGCTTCTTTCCTGTTTTTGCTTATTGCTAAGTAGGGTTTTTCTTTGAGGGACTATTTATGATTATTTTATGGTTTGAGGAATTTGGTTTTGTTTTGAGTATATTGGAGATTGTAATCTCTGTTTTCAATCTAAAGGAGTGTTGTGTTATCTTCCATTTGCATGTGGTGTGTTCGTATCTTGCCGAGGAATAGGTGATGGATCCCTTTGGCCTCCATATGTCACCTTTTTGTTGTTTGACGGCTATTTCTAGTCCGGACAATTGCTAAACCCTGTTAGTCACCTGTCTAATAATATATTTCAACCTCTATCATTCCAAACACCATGACCGCTCCTATCCCCCTTCGCGTACCATTCCACACCTACCTTCCCTTAAAACCTGCACCCAAACACCTTCCATGAGCTATAGAATGATATCATCTGGTATCAAAGCCGAACAAAACCTAAAGTTTTAGGGATTTGTCTTTCTTTCTCCAAATCCAAAATTAATATATATATATATATATATAGATATATATATATATATATCCACATATTTAAATCATTCCTAACATAATTCTTAGCCCCAACCTTTAATTTTCAAAAAATAACCTTCTAACTTTCATCATAATTCTTAGCCTTCTCATCCAATGTTCCTCTAAAAATCTTTGGACGTGTTTTCTTGCTCACATTCACCAACCAAACGACATAAAGCTTGATCCAAAATCTATCAAATATATTTTTCTGGGGTATACTTCTATTAAAAAGTGATACAAGTGCTAATCTCCCATTACAATAAAAATGTTATAATTTCATGGATGTTATTTTGTTTGAAAACCAACCCTTCTGCCCCAAATTTGATATTTAATGGGAGAGTTCTGGTGAATATTAAACTTGGGACACTACTCTGGATACCCGTACTGACCTAAAGTTATCACAACTCATTCTACCCTACACTACTTTGGATACCCGCACTATTCTAAGAGTCATCGCAACCTATTTTCTTTCCCTCTAGCTGTCCAGTCAAGTTCCACCAGTTGGGAACATCCAACTTGAGATTGACAATAAGGAACCTCATGTGTATACTGGGAGAAATAAATCCACTAAACAAGATAAAACCAATATGCAATCACAGGCCTCTTCGCAATCAACCTTGAATTTATACATCTCGATGGTCCTAAGAGTGGTGAAATCTAATATAGATTACGGGACAATTGCACAAATTATCCTATTCAAAAGTATATTGCCTATGGGAAGTTATCATTATCTTACAAA